ACGTGCAACAGCAAAAGCTGCTGCAAGGCTCTACCACCGTTACTTACCATCAGGTGGACTGTGTGCTCGTTTGTCACCCGATCCTATAAAAAAAATAACAAGTGAATAGTTGTCAGATAATCATTTTAGCTGTCAGATATTTTTTCATTAGTTATTCCTTACTAACTTTGGCTGTGGCCCACGGCTTCACCCGCATATTAAAGCATATACTGATCTCAGTTCTTGCCATTCTAAGAATCTACGTGATATATTTAATTTAAATTGGTTTCAACGTAAAGGTTACAACCTACAACTTTCACAGAATGGATATAATAGAAGGAATCACGAGACTTAAGAGTGCGGTCAGCTTCAAGTGATTATTATTATTACTATATTGGATATTATGTTTTGCATTAAAACAAAATAAGATTCGGAAGGAGATAACTATTCAAATAAAACATGAAATTAAAAATGTTTATTAAAAATATAATATAAAATAAAATATACCCAAGTACTTGTAAATATCTCTTAATGACCCTGAAACTGCAACTGTTTTCTAAACAACTGCCGTTTTGATGATGCTATCCTCGAAATGTTATCTTTTTTAGATTCTTAAATGAATCGAACTAAAAATGTTAAATATTACATATATTTAGCATTTTTAATTAGAATAAATAAAATAATCATAGGTTATGTTATTTATCCTAAAACACATACCATAAAAAGGTAAAAACAACTGCACATTATTAAAACAAAATAAAATCAACATATTTTTTTCGTGGCAAATGGGAACCCTAATAATATTTGGCAAATAAAAATACCTATTTATATGTGAATGAGACTTATTTTTTTCAATATGCATTTTTTTATAATTATAATAATAAGAAAAAATGGGGTAAAATATTTTACTATGCCTAGCAACATTTTCATTATATTGGCGTCTGTCAAATTTATTATTTACTAGCTGTTCCCCGCGACTTCGTTCGCGTGTTAGGGTTTTTATGTTTTTGCGCGGAACCCTAATTCATTTTCTAAAATGAAAGTAGCCTAAGTTACTCCTTATAAAATTAGCTATCTGCCAGTGAAAGTCCCGTCAAAATCGGTCCAGCCGTTTCGGAGATTACCCGGAACAAACAGACAGACAGACAGACAGACAAAAATTTTAAAAATTGTATTTTAGTTATAGGTACCGTATTTACTTTCATATGCATTTAGTAAAAAACTGTGATTTTGACATTACAAACAGACACTTCAATTTTATTTATTTGTATAGATTATATTGTATTGATGAATGTTTTTTACAAAAATATAAGATGCTAGGCAGTACTTAACCGTGAAATGAGATTTTTACATTTTTTTCGTGATTATGTGATGAGTTGTGACATCCTTTCATAGTACAGTACGTCTTGTTTTTGTAAAATTGTGCGAGCTCTTTACGCGACTACGTGGACTCGAGTACTAACGCTAACGCAGAGCGCAGACGCACCAAAAGTCGTACTTAACCTTTAAAGGCTAACTTGAAATGGCTTCACTTTGCGTGCGCCTACTGCGGTTCTAAGCCTAATACTTCTATGCCTACAGCTTCAAACGTCCAATGATAATTTCTACATTTGGCGACCCTTTTTATTGGAATTATGGAGCAAAAGATAAAGTTACGCATCGTTTCCAAATCGGCGGATATATTAGTAAGCATGTTGTTTGCGTCGACAGGTAACAAAAAGACGGAAACAGAAGGTTACAAAATAGTAAAAGCCACATATAATGATATATATGTATATATATATACGTTAGATAAATCTATCCAGGAGCTCATTTTAAACTCTGAAAAATGGAAAGAAGAAGATTTAGAAACAGAACTAGAAGATGCGGGAAGATATGATACTAGATGGGCCCTGTTGAAACAAAAAATAACTCAACAATATTACGCCCTTGCGAGTAAGAAAGGAAATTCAAGTTGCCCACGCTAGAGATTAAAAAATTTGACGGACATATTGAAGAATGGTTAAGTTTTTGGGGACAATTCAACAAAGTAGATGCCGATTCCAACATAGAAAATACAGACAAACTTCAGTACTTGTCACAATGCATGGAGTCTGGGACGGAGGGAAGATAATTCGTAGATAGTTTTCCTATTATATATCGAAAGAGAGCTACAAGTTATGTCTAAACGAGCTCGAATCCCGATACGGTCGCGAAGATTTGCTGATCCAAATGTATGTGAAAGAGCTACTGTCACTCATACTGACTAAGGAAAATAATTTTGATCTTAAATCACTATATGATAATGTGAACAATCACCTACGATCACTGGTAGTACTGAAAGTGACAAAAGAAAAATACTCTGCATTTCTACTACCTATGGTTGAGTCTGCATTACCATCAGAGATTTTAAAACTTTGGGAACGAAGCAAACCGGCTGATACTAAAGATTATTTAAACTGTCTTCTCCAATTTTTCAAGAAAGAAGTTGAAAGTAACCAACGAATTGAGTTAGCCACTACATTTAAAATTGAACAAAAATGTAAACAAGAACCAACGGCCGCATGTTTTACTGTACAAAACAGAATTGAAGAAAAGAAAACAAAAGAAATACAGTGCATCTGGTGCAATAAAAGACGTGCAAGTACAGAATGCATCAAAATAGCTAGAATGACAATTGATGAGAGGCGAGAACATTTAAAGAAGATTAAAGCTTGCATGTTATGCTTAAAAATAGGACACCATACAAAGAGTTGCAAAAACTACATCAAATGTTATGTGTGTGGACTACGCCACTCGCCAATACTATGCCCTGGAGTTACTACTGGCAGCAAGAAGCGTGATAAGAAGCCGTCTATTCAAAACAATTCTCAAAACTCATCGGAAACCACCTTACTGCAAACACTACCAGTGAAGATCAACCATGGCGAGAGAAGTGTCATAGTGAGAGCGCTATTTGATAGTGTAGAAGAAAGAAGTAGTCAAGAAATTGAGGGCGCCACCATCGGGAAAAGAAGAACTTAGTCACTCACTATTCGACGGTGTGTCTTTAGCAACACAGCAATATGACTGTTACAATTTCACAGCTTATAGCATAGATAACACATTTAAATTTGATATGTTTGCTTTGGGTACAGTAACAATATGTAAGAATGTGCCTAAAGTAAATGATGTCTCTTTCTGAGCTCCTTATCAAAGACAAAATTAAACTGATGGACAAGATAGAGGATACAGAAAAAAGTAGGCCTTTTGATAGGTACAGATTTTGCTGGTATTTTACTAACAAATCAATTTGTTCATTTAGATAATGGTTTGACTGCCATTAACACTAACCTTGGTTGGACTGTAATGGGGAAAACAAAAACACAGAACACTACAACAAACACTAATGTTGTAACATCTTTGTTTTGTGTACAAAATATGTCTAATTTTTGGAATTTAGAAATTATAGGTATCCAAGATCCAGTTCAGGTGCAGTTCAAACTACAGACGGAGGAAGAGGTGATGAACAACTTTGAAGACAGCGTTCAGGTGAATGATGAAGGCAGATACGAAGTCCATCTCCCATGGCTTCTGAAAGCGGGTGGGAAACCGGTACTTAAAGTCCTTCAGAGGATCTTTAATTCCGTCCTCCGTGGTGGCATTACATCGGAGACGTGGAGCAGAAGTGCGGTGGTCTTGTTCTTCAAGAAAGGCGACAACGCTCTCTTGAAGAACTACAAACCGATTTCCTTCTGAGCCGCGTCTACGTGCTGTTTTCGGTCACGATGATCTGATGAGCAATCTGGAACTGGCGAAGCACCGACTGCAAGCTGCAACAAACAAGTTGGTTTTATTTGGTAAGTTTCATGATTATTATATTATTATTAAAGAATGAGAGCAAATGGGTATCATAGAACAAGTACCTGTGTCTGAGAGAAGCAAAGACCATGATGTTCACTACTTACCTCATAGGGCTGTAATAAAAGAGACCAGTCTTACCACCAAACTGCGACCTGTTTATGATGCATCTGCAAAGGATAAAAATGGTAAGTCATTGAATGCATGCCTAGACAAAGGGATCAATTTTTTGGATAAAATACCTGACCCCTTGGTTGGCTTTCGTAAAAGTGGTACAGAAATAACCGCTGATATCACACGAGCATTCTTACAAATATCAGTTAGCCCGGAAGACAGAGATTATTTGAGTTTTTTTATGATGGAAAGACGAGGCGCAACACGATATCGTGGAGTAAAGACATTGTAGAGTCGTATTTGGATTAACGTCGAGTCCATTCTTGTTGTCGGCAACCATATTACACTACCTCCAAAATATAAATGATGCTAAGAAAAATGCTGCTGATATATTGCTAGGTCCTTTTATGTTGATAATCTAGTAACGAGTTTAGACTCGTAACAGGCCACGCGAGACTTCATGCAGGAGGCGAAGAGCATGATGAAAGAGGCGAAGTTCGATTAAAGGCAGTGGGTTTGTACTCCATTAAATATTAATGAAACGAATTAAACAATTATTTCAGTATTGGGGCTACTATGGGATACTGCATCAGATGAGCTTGCCTTCAACTTAAATGCGTTACCAGATCCACAAGAGATCGATAAAATTAATAAAAGAGTTCTTTTATCACTTACTCAAAAGATTTTTGATCAAATTGAAATGCTGAGCCCTGTAACACTGGTTCCAAGATTAATATTACAAAAGATCTAGAACAGAAAGATCACATGGGACGCTGATTTACCTAATGATATTTTATCACAATTTCATGACTGGTATGATAACATTACTTATTTGAAAAACTGCAGGTTACCCCGACGACTGTCAGCTGAGCGATTACAGGACTGCAACTCGACCCTCCACATGTTTTGCGACGCTAGTAAGACAGGCTACGCAGCCTACGTGTTTCTCAGAACTGAAAACAAAGGTAATGTGACAGTCTGATTAATATCTGCCAAGTCAAGAATCGCACCGCCGGAGAAAATAACCATACCACCCCTAGAATTATTCTTTCAGAACTATTATATCAGCACTAGTAGGCTCAAGGTTAATGGCGGCGGCTAGAAAGTTTCCTCAGTTGAAAGGTAGCAAAGAATTCTGTTGGACCGATTCAGGAGTAGCATTATGCTGGATAAAACGAGAGCTATCATGGAACACATATGTAGGCAACCGTGTAAAAGAAATAAGACAAAATACTGATACCAACAATTGGAAACACATTCCAAGTACCGAAAACTGGGCGGATCTGACATCGAGGGGGTGCAACGCACGTCAGCTGCTGGAGTCCAAGTGGTGGGAAGGTCCACCGTGGCTGCTACAAGCACCAGAAACGTGGCCATATTCAGCACTGATCGTGGATGAAAAAGAAGCCAATAAAGAGCTCAAAAAGACCACCCGGACAAATACATGTACCGAACAGAATGGTATGATGCACAGTTTGTTATATTTCTCCAAATACACAAAGCTCGTGAGGATGACAGCATGGATATTGCGATTTGCTCATAATGCTCGCTCTAAAAACAACAAGAGGACAGGAGAATTAACCTATGAGGAATATGAAGAAGCTGAAAAGCGAATAATAAGAATTATACAAGAAAATTAAGAAATTATAGAAAAACAAACGAAAAATCTAACTCGGTTTTATGACAAAAAAAACATTTTAAGAATAAAAAGAAGAAAATTGTTACTTACCAATTTTCCAGAGAATTTGAAGACTCCTATGGTGATTCCTGCGAAGAATGAAGTCGTACAGCGTATGGTTGAGCAGCGTCACGTCCAACTTCTACACGCTGGCACTAACATGATGATTGCTGACTTGAGGAAGAGATTTTGGATCATTGGAATCAGGAGATTGGTGCAGTCGGTTATAGATAAATGCATGTTTTCTAAAAGACACGTAGCGAAACCCACACAAGCAAGTACAGCGCCACTGCCTATAGAGCGGATACAACCAAGAGTGCCATTCCAAGTTATTAGCGTCGACCTGGCAGCCCCGCTATATTTACTCAACGGCGAGAAATGCTGGATTGTGGTGTACACCTGTGCAGTATACCGTGCAGTACATTTAGAATTAACACAGTCTTTGTCAACAGATGCTTTTTTAAGAATCTTTAGGAGATTCATTGCTCGTCGTGGACGTGTCGAAATGATAACATCCGACAATAGCACAAATTTTACAGGAACTAGAAACCTGCTTTCAAGCCTCGACTGGGATGAAATAAAACCTACGCATTAAATGGAAATAAAACGCGCCCATGGCGACGTGGTGGGGCGGCTTCTTCGAACGTATGATAAAAAACATTATGGAGACGTGTTTTAGGGACATCTTCCGTAACTTACGAAGAGATACAGACCCTGCTCTGCGGCTGCGAGGCCGTGATAAATGACCGCCCGCTCACATACATCGAAGGTGATAACACGGATTCTTTGGAGCCCTTAAGACCATCGTGCTTCCTACAGGCAATTCCACAGTCTCAGGTAACAGATTTGGATAATATAGACGCGACGAGTCTCAACAGAAGACTGCGGTATCTACAGAGACTGAGGAACGACTTTCGTCAAAGATTTAAGAGCGAGTTCTTGATAGAGCTGGTGCAAAAGGGAAAACAGGAAGATCAAGGTCTGAAGGTAGGGGATATAGTGCTTGTGGAATCCGAAGCGAAAAGAGTCAAATGGCCATTAGGTCGTTTAATAGAAATATATAGAGGTAAGGACAGGGTAGATAGAACAGCGAAAACTATTACGTCTGTTGGATGTAAGACACGACCATTCCAACGCCTGTACAAGCTGAAACTGTCTTTCTCTGGGGCGGAGGGAGGAACAGAGGAGATTAAGGGAACAAGAGAGGCTCAAGTAGACAATAAAACATCTCTAGGTAATAAATTCTCTATTGTCCTTTATCCAAGCAGTACTATAATTAAAAAGAGAGTCGCGGTAGACAAGGAGGCACCAGAAAAAACCACCAGACTTGGGAGAACTATCAGATTACCGAGTAAGTTTAAAATATGACATGACACATTCACTTTCTTTTACACAGGGTATTGTTTTAACCTACTTACAAAGTTCCTTCTATCTTGTCCATCACATTTAGGCATTGTGTTTTTGACTGATTAAAGCAAAGTTTGTTAAGAGTAAATTTCATATCTTAATTTCATAAAATAATAATTTACTTAGCCCAAGTTTGCTAAGAGTAAATTTCATAACATTCTAATCCAATTTTATAAAATAATAATTGGAGATTGTAGAATGTTCCTTTTTTATAAAGTCAGGGACTGAGTACTTTGCTTAGTGTACTGTATGTTTATCGCCTTTATTCAGCTTAATTGATTTGTAATCATTTGTTCTTAGTTACAGATCAGACTGGATACACCTTAGTGACTTTTCTGGCTGTGGAGGATGTTAAATATTGTGGATTAATGTACGGGTATCCAGTCCGATTAAAAAGTTAAAACGAAAAAAGAAATTTGACATTATCTATGAAACGCATCAAAAATCTATGGCGTGAAAAAATTGTAAAAACATCGTGGAAACATTTTGTGTAATTTCCGATTTCCGAACTCTTCTATTAAAGAAACAAGACGAGCAGCCGGTGTTTTATTTTGGTGTTAAAATCTGGTGGATTAAAGGGCCATTCCTATACCTGCATCGTAAAAACAAGGCCAATCAACCTACAGTTTCAAACGTCCAATGATAATTTCTACAATAGTACTACGTACAGAAGTCGCACTCCTTTGATTTTGACTGCTTGCCGACGTTTTAATGTATGTAGGTTACATAGTTATTATTAATAAGATAAATCGCTTACGCAAGCTCGCTGCGCCCGAGTGTCCGTATTACTTTGCATCTGTTCTCATTTCTACGTCACAACGGACTTTCCGTGGTTACTAAGGGCTGTTAATAAAGAGTAAAAAAAATATATTGTGAAATTGTAAGTAAGTTACTTACAGTAGGCGCACGATTTCATGTCCATCCCGAGGAATGCTGTGACCTAATCAATTATGGTAATGTCGATAATTACTACCGATGTAGTCAACAGCTGTGAATTTGATATTAATTTGTAACTTAAGGTAATTTTTCAAATTATAAAATAAACATGATAACTACTTACTTGTATATTGCTAATAGAGATTATTTTCTAAATGTAATTTAATCACTATCTGCAGGGCTATTCACAATCGTCTCGGAAAGCGAAATCGACTCGGATTCGATAACTTCTCGCACCGAAACCAATAAACGCTATTAACATTTAACGTTCGGATAAAGGTCACTTAGATACATCCTATAACTATTGTATCGTCATTTAGTTACATGCATTTACGAATTTTGTAGATAAATAGGCTTTTGTATTTTTTTTAGAGTAACGCCTGAACAAAAACATAATGCAATATTTTGGAGTTAGCCATTGATATCGAATATAAAAAATATATAATTTAACTATATAATAAATAACAAAAAAACTGAGATATATCTCGTTTCTGTCGGGTCTGGGTTTTTTTCTATGGGGCGTGACCGTACTTCTTTGACGTTTGTTTTCGATAATTGTGACAGTTTGCATCGGAAACTTTACGAGAGCTCTGAGGCTGGCGAAAACTTTTCGAATATTGATGATTAGAAGAGATAAATAAACCCTTTTTATTATAAGGTAGGTAACAAAAATTAATTACAATTATCTATAAGACGTATTTTCATATAATTACTTCAATATTTGCACTTAATCGTAAAGCTGTATTTTTGTGAAAGGTGTGTTTTTATAAGTTTTCTATCACAAAGCAGCATATATATATGCTGCTTTGTGAAACGAGACATATCTCAGTTTTTTTGTTATTTATTATATAGTTAAATTATATATTTTTTATATTCGATATCAATGGCTAACACCAAAATATTGCATTATGTTTTTGTTTAGGCGTTACTCTAAAAAAATACAAAAGCCTATTTATCTACAAAATTCGTAAATGCATGTAACTAAATGACGATACAATAGTTATGGGATGTATCTAAGTGACCTTTATCCGAACATTAAATGTGAATAGCGTTTATTGGTTTCGGTGCGAGAAGTTATCGAATCCGAGTCGAATTCGCTTTCCGAGACGATTGTGAATAGCCCGGCTGATGCAAATACTACCGACAAAGCAGAGTCGGAATCAGTATCTTCGCCGGCGCTGTTTTCAATTACGAATTTGTCGATCGTATTTTCCAATAATCCGTCTTTTTGCCAGTAATGCTCTTCCAAAATTATAACGTGATCATCAAATCCACACCAATCTATTTCTGTCACCTGTTTTATAGAGAGATGGCTCCGTTAATTCTTTCAATCTTGTTAGGGTTAAATCTGAGTTAACGTTGTACTCCCTCACAACTCTCTTGATTTTTGCCCATGCTAACTCAATTGGGTTTAAGTCGCACATGTACGGTGGCAATCTTAAAACCTCATGTCCGTGACTACGGATGAGCTGGTCCATTTTAAAAGTTTTCTCTTGGGATGCATGCAGTTTTATGACATCAATAAGCTCGCCTTTTCTCGTGTTTATTGAAGCCTCTACATAATTTATAGTAAGCCATTCTAACATAACCCTTTTTGTGCTTCATTTTGTAGGAACTTTATTTTCCTGATCACTGTGATATGGTGCGTTGTCCATAACGACAACGCTGGATGGTGGCAAATTGGGAATGAACATATCAGTCACCCATCTTTCAAAGTTCGTACTGTTCACTTGCCCACGGTAATCGCCTGTAGCAGTACCAGTTTTGAAAACCGACTTTGCGCCATCCAAAAAACCACGTCTGGATCCGGCGTGAACGAGAATCAGCCTGTTCGTGGAGCTGATGTCAGTCAGCATCGCGTCTATATAATCGTTTCTCCAACACTTTTTAAATGTGAGGTTATTGTTAACCGACGTTTCGTCTAAAAAGACAATATCGCGATCATTTTCTCTCTATTGACGAATTTTTTGCATATAATTTGACCGCGCAAATACAACAGCTGGTCTTTCTACCAAAATCATTCGCTTGTTGTGACATTTTTGCCCATTTCCTTTAGAAGTTTTCGTTAACTTGTAGTCCCTCAGGGAAAATCAATTTTTTCCCTGGTAGCCGCCAGAAGTTTGGGTCAAGCGGGAACAATTTTTTTTGTCAAATAAAATTCTTCTATACATCTGTGTATTACACTTCTATCGAAATCATCTACATTTAAACTCCCCATTTTATTACTCGATTTCCCTTTTTTAGAAGGCGAATGGAGAAGTCCATTTTTTGCTTCTGTTTGAATTCTAGACAATGTTCTTGTAGTAAGTCCAGTGTAACGGGCCGCTCGATCTAAAGCATTGTTAACCGGAAAAGCTAATTTATTCTCTTTTTTCTCTTCGACACACATTCGTAGGACATTTCTCGCCATTTCTCGTGCTTGGTTATGTATTATAAAAGGTTTTTTTTCTACCTGAACTTTCTGGAAGAGGAGTAGTCATAGTTTATTCACAATAAAATAATACAATAGGGACTAATTTTCGATATCGATAAGCGCGCGTCACAACCGTCAAGGACAACTCAACTCAACACTCGACTGCAGACATATGCAGGTAGGTGGGCGAGGGCGGGACGAAATACCCCCGCGCGGCGCCTTTGGTTGGCCCCGATGGACATTAACTCGCGCGCGTACTGTAAGTAAAGTACCTATTCTGACTATGATGGACCAAATTTCCGCTACTATGTGAGTTCCGTGATACCCAACGCATGCAACTTACTTAGATTATTTACTCTATATAACGCCTCACGCAATGAGCGATGCAACAAAAAGTGGCCAGTGTTTACAAGCTAACAGTTGACAGTGATGATGTTCTGTTTATATTGAAGTCGGTTGTACAAAATTTTTAATTTTACCACTTGTCTGTTTCTCATTTTTTGCTATTTACAAACATTCGACACGCGACGGAATTATTAATGAAAGAATGGCTGTTTATGCCCAAATTTGGTCATTTTTGAACACCATCCAATTGCGTTCGAGCTGGCGCCTCACCCGATGGTATGTAGGTGAGGTAAACGCCGAGGTGGGGCGGCCGTGTGCGGCTTGCAGTGGCTCGACGCGTGAGCGAAGAGGTGAGAATTATTCGCTGGCCGCGAGACGGTGAAGCCGCGTACCTAGGTCATCGCGGCCGAAGGGACGCGACCGTGTAGGGTCCAGATAGTTAGATTTAGGCGTGTACTTCGCTACGTGGATATGTGAATTTTGCAATATTTAACTTGTTCGGGTGATGCGGATTTGTGCACGCGCGAGCCGAGTAGATATACGGTCTAGGATTCGAACCGCGCATTCGTTGGCCGAGAGCGTCTCCCGGTTGATTGTATGGAAATCATGATAATTGTGCCGTCGCGTTAAGTGCCCCTTTTTGTGTGTTGGTTGGTTCGTTAGTTTACGTGTCAAAGAGGCGTATTTTGAATTCTTTTCGCGACGTGGTGTTTGGTGTCGAATGAAGGAACTTAATTGTGTTTAACGCTGAACCGTATAACTCATTAAGAGATCGCTTTAGTTCCCTATTTATGATTTTGTGATAAGTGAATCCGGGGCATTGAATGTCGAATTTTGAACACGTGATACCCGACACAGTAAGGACAGTTCCTTACTGTGTCGGGTATCACGTGTTCGATTCTACGATGAATGTGGAATTAGGCGAGTTTAAGTTAATTAAATGTACAATGAAGCTAATAGACTGAAGTAGTGACAATGAAGAAAGAAATGGTCCAGCGGTGGAGCCTGCGGAGCGATGCAGCATTAGCGGGCATCCTGGAACTCAGCCGCTGCTGGTCGCTTAAGTTGGTCAAGGTCTCAGACATTTACACATCACTGAACACTACTTGCCATTCATACCTTACACACACTCACGGCCTGACCGAGCCTTGGTGCGAAGTTAGCTTCTGATACTGGTACGTACTATGTGTTTCTAGCACTCCCCCATATAGTTTATTATGATAGGACATTTCTATATAGCCATTCGGGCTTGAACCCGCGGCTGCCC